GATTTAGAACCTTATCTATAGTAATAGTAGTAGCCTCTCTCGTAGTAATAGCGACGGCCTCGCCTTTATCCGTAGTAATAGCGGTGGCGTCGCCTTTACCCGTAGTAATAGCGGTGGCGTTAGAGTCTTCCGACTCGAGATCTAATACGTCTACGGCTATACCCCTTAATAGTAGCCTATTCGCGGTCTTATTAGATCAGGTGATACGGATAGATTATAGGCGTTCCCCGATTTCCTCGGCGGAAGCTATAGCTTATAGCGTTTTAATCCTGCCGTTAAATATCTTATCTTCGTTAAAGACCACGTCTTTTATAGTGATAATATCCGTTATGTATAGTAGCTAAATACGGAAGCTATTCGAGGATTAATATCCGATATAATAACTAATCTATACCTTCGGTTCTAGCCTTTATAGGCGGTTTCTTTTAGCTTAGGTATCGCGCGTTTTTATAAAGGCTTTATAGCCGTATACTCGTAGGTGCGTAAGGTTAGGTTAACGGCCACGTAGGCCTTCGTATAGTATTCGCTAGTCGTTAATATATCGTGGCGTTCTATTATACAGATATATAGTAGTCTTAAAGATCTTAGGCTAGATAGATATAGGCAGATTAGCTCTAATCCTTATAGCCCTCGCCCTTCTTTTAACGATGCCTTTAATCCGTTCTATAACGCCGTTCTAATCCTGTGAATATAGTACCGACGGCTAGCCTTCTACCCCCTTAGCAGCGAGGAAAGCAACGACTTCTAGGTGCTAAAATATCTTAGAATCGGCCCGTAGAACGCGTAGCCTAACGTCGAATTAGGTCTTAAGCAGGGTAAAAACGTCCTTTAGAGCGTGTAGGATAGAGCCTTAGTCTCTTTTCTATAGGTAGTAATCCTATATATAACCTATATATACGTCTATAACGAATATAATAGACTTATATAGTCCGTCCGCTAACTACTTCGCCTTTTCTAGATTATAAAAATTAATAGCTAAGGCCTCTCCGGGCTTTAACGGGTAAAGGGATAGTATCCGCCGGATCTACGTAGGTATTTACGACTATCTATACGCGTTATAGTCCGCTATACGTGGTCCCTTTATCTTTACCCCCTAAGTGGCGTTAATAATCTTTATAAGAGTATCGGTGCCGTAGTGGCCGAGGCGTTTATACCACTATTATACCGTGGTCTTCTACGGTTACCGCGGTTATCGTGATCTTCTATACGGGTTATCGCGGGGGTGCTTTACTAAGACCGCGAACGCGGTAGCGGCTATAGCTTCCGCGCGCTTAATTATATACTAGCCGTGGATATCTAGTAGCTTATAGATAGGCCGGTTATCGGCGGAGCTAATAATAGTATCGTTTACAGTATCCTAGCGGTAACCTTATAGGCATAGCTAGCATTCCGAGACGATATTAGTAACGAATTCCTTATAGTATACGATATTACGGAGGCGTAATAGCCTCTTTATACCCGTTAGGGATTATACACGTAGCTTAACGTCTCCGTATCTAAGGATAGGAGCCTTATAAGTACCTACCTAGAGCGTTAATAAATTAACCGTGGGTAGTCTAATAGCCGTAAAATAGCCTTAATTATTAAAGATATAGATTAACGATCCTAAGTCTAGGATCGCGTAGTATAATAGGGCTCTAGCTTAGTTAATAGAAAGGGATATCCCCTATTCTTATTATAATCTTAATAGTATCGTCGTATAATAACGCGCTACCCCCTAGGTTAGGGGGGCTCTTAATCTCCCTTTCACGGTAACGGATAAGTCTTTATAAACTATAGTAATAGTAGACATAGTATTATAGAGTTAATCTTCCTAAACTTCCTCTATCATATTAGCGGTAGTAGCTACTACTTCCCGCCTCTTCTGTATCGCGGTATCTACGCGGCTTTTAAAACTATAAATACGTATCTTCTTTTCCGCAACCTTTATAATATCTTCACGGCCACGCTAAGTATAAGGGCGTATATCCGGCCTTACGTACTAATAGGCGGCGGTAGTATAGGTATTCTTATATATCTTATAAGGCCTCCTTATTATAGGAGGGATAGCCTTTACGGACGTGTTACTATAAGGGCGCTTCTTATTATTATCGTTATTAGTAGTATCCTTAGTATCGGGGAGGTTCCTAAGGGTATTAAAGGTGCCTCTCCTAACTCTAGGCTTTATAGCGGTGGATTATAGGCTTTTTATATTACTAAGAACCGCCCGTAGAGCCTTTACGAAGTCGTTAATTATTAGTTCGTTTTCCGTAATCTTATCGTAGTTATTTACTAGGTAGTTATTACTTTATTCCTAGGTAATAGATCTAATAGCTTTTAACGCGTCTTCTACCTAATAGTCTATGCTTAATAGTTCTAAAACGCCTATATATTTATAGTGTATTATCGCTGTTTTCTAGCTTACTACCTAAGTGTCTATATCCTTAAGTATAGCCTTCATTAGCGTGGTATATCGTCGGTATAGAATTAGGGCTTCCTTACGGAGGTCTATAGGTATTAGTCCTATATACGCGTGCAGGAGAGTAATCTAAGCCTATAGGTTATTTACGGTGTTATCCTATAGCTAGGCGAGGAGGTTACGTAATATAGTATAAACGGTCCCTTTAATATAGTAGTATATCTCGTTAAACTCCTTCTACTACGCGTCGTAGTCTACCTTTTCCTCGCGGTATACGCGGCGATCTTATAGGTAACGCGTACGCCCTTTTTTAGAGAGGTCGTTAATGGACGTGGGCGTCCTAGTCGGTGGTTCTTTCGTTACGGCTATAGCCTTCCGGCGGGCGGCCGTCTTCTTTTTATCTACGGCCGTGGCCGCTATAGTAGTGGCCGTGGTAATAGCCGTGGTAGCTATAGCTTTTATAGTATCTATAGCCTTATCGCCCTTTAGCGTGATAGTGGAAAACGGAGTAGCCGTGACGGTAGTAGCTATAGCCTCCTCCATGTTAGGGTCCGCGGCGAGGGCTTTATATTTATAAATATTAGGGGGTATAAGTATAGGGAGGAGATAGGCGTTAGCCTCCTTATCGCTTAGCTTTAGATTAAGGTAGTTATCCTAGTAGGAGGCCGATTTACCGCGTACGGCGCGCTCCTAAACTGCCTAATCCCTCTAGTTAACGAGGGTAGTGGCGGCCGCCTTCTATTCGGCGTTAGATACGTTAGAAGATATCTTTACTAGATTATCGTGTATCGGTTAGTTAATTAATAGGTAGGTTAATTAATCTGTTAATTACTCTGATTAGGTTAATAGTAGTTATTTAAAAGTGTTTATATAGACGTAATTACTTCTTTATAGTGGAATAGGGGTAGCCTTATTCATATCTATCGTTTAGGCGTTATAAACCGGGCTTATAACTATCGTATGTTAAAAGGCACTTTTAATAATTAACTTAGTAGAGCAGAAATCTCGTGTATATATATTAGATTAAGTTATATCTAGGAGAGCCTTTTATGCCCTTAATTTAGGTGGCAAAGACTCTATTATAGGTACTAAGTTATTTAGATCCTATCCGGTCTTTTCCGGTATCCGCCCCTATTATATCCGAAGCCCTTAGTTATAGCGTGGATCCCCCCTGGATCCCCTATAGACCACGTCGTGGTCCGTGTGCCTATACGACACATATAAGCTCTCTAGTCCTATTAAGCCCAACACCCAAATCACCCTCTTCCTTATTAAGTCTATGGTTGTTATAGCTACCCTTATAAGATATATAAGATTATAGGCAAATTATACGGTATTCGTAGTATAAGAATAGCTTATCACCACCTAATAAAAACTAGACACAATTTATTCTTAGTCGCTAAACACATAAAAAACTAGCCCTATAGGTCATGTGACTTTCTTGACGCGATGCCTAAAACGGCTCTCTACGGTGCAGTTATCCTTGTTTCTTATTAAGACAGAACTATGGAAGCTATAAGCATGTGATTATGACCTCCTGGCCCTCCTAGTGTATGTTTGCGACGGTACTCCGTGTTGTATCCCGTGCTTTGTATATAAGTCACGACTCACATGCCGCGAGCGACGTCACACGTCATACCCCGGGGGTACAGCTACATCAGTCAGCAGCAACGAGCAATTGTACGTACTCCCGAACTCCGAACCTGGAAGTCAAGCTGCCACCTCCCGCCTTTTCCTGTTCTCTGCCTCGGGCCACTGTCACTGTCACTGTCACTGTCCACTGTCACGTCAACGTCACGTCTCTTTTCATTCTTCCCTGCAGCTCCTCCATCCCTCCTTCGACTATCACGACATTACGCCTCGACGGGTAGCTACATTTCTTACACTTTTCCTCCATACTGACGTCTCCCAGCGATTTCGGTCTCCAAGGAGAAGCTACGAGCCATCCATTATTTATTTACCTACACCCCACAACTCGGATCGAGAGAAAAGCGTCCAGCCGGAGCTCTAGGCTCTAGCCGCGTTCTTCAGCCGCGAATCGTTGGCCCGTGGTATCGCCTCCTCTGTGATTTCATTGATTTCATTGATTTTCATAGCTCGTCTATTCTTACCGCACGACCTCACGAACTCACAAGTCGACGACTTCTCTCTTCTCCGCCACCTAAACCATTCCCCATCCACATCAACACCGACACCCACGCCCACGTCCACACCCACCCGTATCATTTGGCGCCGTGCCACGCCAGTCCAGCTTGTTACCGCAAATAGTCCGGATCACCACCGACCTGCTTTACCTACCCCGCGTCTAGGTGTACCCATATTTCATCTCTTCTTCCCTTCAGAATAGGCTGCTCCTTTTGTCGAACCCCTAGGGGGGGAATACCTTGTCCCGTCAGGTAGCCTTCAAAGGGGACATTGGAGTCGGATCGGCTGCTTCCCTCCCACCCGGTTACATGGCTGCATTTGTGCGTCCTTAACCCGCCCCCAAACAACACTTTCTCCCTTCTGAATGCTTCTCTTCCGTTCTTTTGTTTCCCCGTCGGCGGATAATCGAAACTAACTATCGTTCCATCCCGCCTAGGAAACTCCCTGGTTATCCTACATGGCGACCGCGAAACCCTCCGACGAAGCCGCCCCATCCCTTGCCGATGATCATGCCGCCAACGTCGGCTCCTCGAGCGCTCCGCCCACCTACGCCTCCTTCTCCCCTGTAACTCTATCGTCCAACACCCCGAGCCGTTCGTCCCGGTCCCGACCCTCCACCATTCTCGTCCACCAGAAGAGCCCGCTGCTCCTCGCCACACCTCCCCAGATCACCCGCGCACTCGCCTATTCGCATCCGTTCCTCCTTCCCTTGAACAAGGCCGTCGGGCTGCTGAGCTGGACAACCTCCGACCCATGGGAGAGCTTCCTTGTGGTGTGCGCCTTCTGGGCCGTCGTCATCTACGGTGACATGGTCATTCGGGTCGCCGGGCCCATCGTCCTGGTCCTCACCCTCATCCTCGCCATGTACGGGCGTCGCTTTAGCCCCCTGAGCAGCGCCAGTCAGGCCGACGCCCTATCGCGGGATGCCGACGCCTCGCGCTCCCAACCCAACAACCCCGGTCGCGCTCGTGCCGGTTCCGAGGCCACCAGTACCCGCCACCACAAGACCTTGGACGAGATGGTCGAGACGCTTAAGGAGTTTACCGGCCGCTGCAACGTCCTATTAGGTCCCGCCCTCGAGCTCACCGATTTTCTCAGCACCCAACGCACCCCGACCAGCGCCACCACCCGACCGGCCCTCATCGCCCTCTTCGTTCGCATCCTCTTTTGTACCCCGTTTTGGTACGCCCTCACCCTGCCGCCCATGCGCATCATCACCACCCGCCGCGTCATCCTCCTCATCGGCACCTTGGTCCTCACGTGGCATGCCCGCATCATGCGCGTGGCTCGCGCCATCCTCTGGCGCAGCGCCTCCGTCCGCCGCACCGTCGCCCTGGTGACGGGCCTCAGGTTCGAAAGCCCCGTCAGGTCCTCCTCCTCCTCCTCCCCTTCGTCCTCTTCTTCTTCTTCCTCCACGACCGGCACTGCGGGAGAGGGCCGCCCAGATGATGTCGTGATCACCACGTCGGGCGGCACCGTGCGGAAGCCGGCGCAGAATTCCGAGTCGGAGCTTACTCGGGCGCTGCGGAGACGGGACCACCGGCCCGGCGGCGGCGGCGGACGCGATGCCGGCGTCAAGTTCACGTTCATCATCTACGAGAACCAACGCCGCTGGGTCGGCCTGGGCTGGACCCAGAGCTTGTTTGCCTACGAGCGTGCCGCGTGGACGGACGAGCACAACAACCCCGTGCCGTCCAAGGACGTCTTTGAGCTGCCTGAGGTGGAGGAGGAGACGCGGATGCATTGGCGGTGGGTGGAAGGGAGCACTTGGCGCGTGGACGGGGTGAAGGATGATGGGAAGGAAGTGGATTATGATGACGAGCAGGGGAAAAATGGGTGGATTTACTACGATAATACGGTTCGTTTTCTCTTTTTCTTGTCCGTCCCCCCAACCCCATCCTTTCCCAAAATCCCCC